CGCAATACAACAGTAATAGCAGCGGAGCCGCGTTCAAGGAGGAAAAGGATCGCTCGAATGGAACGAATTCATGGTAGTTATGCGTGTCTTATCGTGCCACGCGGTGGGGAATGAGTCATTCTAGCTGCCGTGGAGAGCTCGCGTACGAAAAGTCGCGATGGTACGCTCTTTTTTGCAGAATAAATTACGGCATCTTGCGGCGCGAATTGCTAATGTCTTCCTCACGCAGTGTCTTCGCACGCGGAGTACGAGAGATGCGATTTAAAAGTTATTTACAGTTGGAAGGGAATAATTTTTGATTGCCGATCGACCGTGGTAACTCGCGGGAAAAAAATTTTCAGATTTTGCGACCTCACGTTTTTTCCCTCCGATTTTTCCTCTCGCTGTCAGTTTTGTCCGGTGTTTTTCTCGCGCGGCTTTTCAACGAATAAACTCGAAAATTCCCCGTGTTATCTGGTGCTCCAGAAGTTACACGCGCTCGGCATCATCTGCCCGTTGTTTGTTCGAGCTGTTATCGGTGCGAGTGCACCTGCGCCGCCAGCAACAATACGCGGCTCTCGGATGCGAGCCATTATGCCATTAATCGCAGGAAGTTGCGTTTTTGGAGGACGCGCCGATGCGATTTTCCGCAATCGATCAATCGAGATCCGCGGCGATCGGAGTATTTTCCATTACGGGCGTGTCTCGAGTAAATACGCGTACACTTTCTTCCGATCTGAAAGATCGCGCTGTCCCTCTCAACGACGAGTTTCCATTTCCGACGATTTTCACGACGTTACATAAATTCCGCGTTCATGTCGATCCGTTGGGACGTGATTGCCCGCGTCACGGTCACGTTACGTATAGATTTGATTTACATACTTGAATAAAAAAATAACTTAATAGCAGAGAGAGTGTCGCTTTTACATAATGTAACGATTTTAATTATAGGTATCGATAATTTAGAAAAAAAGCGTAGATTAATTGGAAGGCGCCTGTATTTACGGGGTTCGCAAAATAGGCAGCTATTTAAATGAGAAAAATCTCTGTAATAATGAAACGCAGTAATTTTGCTAGAAATTGAATTTACACTCGTGAAGTAAATTTTCAAGTGATTTACTACGATAAAGACATCGTGCAAGGCAATTACTCTCTATCTAGGTAAAGTTATGAATATGTAAACGACGAGATGGGCGACGGAACTTGGTTTTTTCTCATGAAGTTAACATACTAGTTATGATAATGAAATACGTGGGTGGCAGACGCTCGAGAGATTCTTCTTTATCGTGGGCAGTTGTAATAGATGTGTGCGACCGAAATTCTTTCAGAAATTTATTAGTTTTTCATAGAAGCAACCCAATAATTAAAAAATACGTCGCGAAAGGTTCACTTGCTGTCTGCAAAAATTTTAAAAGCTATGTTTATTCGCATCAAGAATTTAATTAAACGTACC